CGTGGCAACTTCTCTTCTGCAGAAGCAGAGTCACGCTGGACTTTACCAACAACATCCCAGAAAATTGTAAGGGAGGCTTCAGGGCTGTCCAGGATGGTCGATACGGCTGCATACTCTAGAGATGTCCATCGGGCCTTCTGATCATCCCCATCATCGTAGATGTATCGTGAAAGCCCCTGCCAATGATGCGAGCCTGGTATGTGGCTTGTTGCGGTTTCGGTACCCCTTCCTGAGTCGGAGAAGGATTCTACAGACCTCCTCCAATATGGAACCATATTTCTGAGACGTCCCAACACGTTGCGCCTATGGTGTTGAAAGAAGGACCGGTGTGGCAGAGGTATTGATTCCTGTGCTGTCTGCTTACCCCGTGTGGCCCGCTCGGCCTGGTCCTCCTTGAAATCTTGGTTCTCCTTCATCTCAATGACGGGGTGCTTAAACTTCAGCCTGAAGAATTGGCGGTACGGATCTGGCGTCGTAGTTTCAGATGCATCAATTTCCCCAGACATGGACTCGGCCTTGACAATCAAGATTGCTTTGGTGTTTTCGTTTCCCATCACCAGAGCTGCCTTTTCGCACTGCAGGTGGACTGGAAATAATTGCAACAATAGGGGCAGGTCATCAGCCCCCTTTGGGCCGTTATCATCCCTCCTTCCATTGTCAGAACCGGAGGACTGGAAAGTTGAAGTGCGTTTCCTGCCCATTCCATTATGGGACGAGACGTTATTATGGACAGCATCGGAATCCCCAGTCTGATCCGAAGATTGGCCAGGGGATATGTTGTCAGAGGCTTCGTACCGCCGCCGCCTCGACCGTCTTCTCCTTGGCTGAGTCGGGTCGTCCCCTGTCCCGTCACCGTTGCTTGTTTTGGGGGCGGTTTCGTTTGCGACTTCTTGAGACTCCGTCAAGCCAGACAGTATCGAGTCGTAAGCCGGGCTGCGGTTGTACACAAACCATTCCAGTCCGAAGAGAGAGGCATGTATTCGGCATGGAAGCTTCGCAACGAGATCCTCGGGTGCTCCATCGCCATCGTCACCATCGCCATCATGCGCTGTCTGTTTTCCTTGCCCAACATTGACCTCGCGCACTCTGCGTAGCCAGTATGCCCAGGTTATATATCCGCTCTGTACGAGGATAGTCTCGTTATTGCCATGGTATCGGAGACCGGTGAAGAAGATGCGTCCGCCGAGCAGGGATATTTGAAGCGCCTGGATGTCGATATAGACTCGATACTGATGCCACGTCCATGTCCTCAGCCCCCACGAAACGATGGAAGCAAATACTCTGTTAAAGTATAACAGGAAAAAGACCGACCTGGAGATATCAGCAACAGCCAGTCTAACCACCCTCGGATTTCGCACACTTACAAGGAGCCACAAACAATAAGCAGCCCGAGGAATAGACTATAGGTAGAAACACGGTCAGTTGGAATCTGTCGTTTGGAATACTGCCAAGTACACTGGACGCACGCATTGAATGCCCTCGGTCCATCAGCTGGGACAGAGAATGGTGAGCCTTCAGTTTCAGACATGTTTTTCCTCCTCGGGGCTCGCGGCTCCAGCCCTCCTCGCGACCATGGCACGGCTGCCGACTGCGACTTCCAGCCAAGTCTCCAGTTGCCTCAGGTCTCCAGCTACCCAGGAAGATATTATTGGGCCAGGAAGATGCCAGTTGCGCCGCGCTCCATCCCGCCGTACCAATCCGAATAAAAATCAAGTCGAGCAGAAAGAAGGAATTGGCGACTAGGGCATGTCGACTATTGGGTAAAGCAGTCTTCGTCTCGTTCGTTTTGTCGTGCTTGCGCCTGTGCTTAAAGCTGGGGATCGCGAAATGGAATGGGTCCAATGCTGGATAGCTAAAGGTACGCGTGGTGCTCCAATGTTGGTAGTGTCCCGTAAGTACCCTGGTACCTTGCTGTCCCAACCACAAGTCGATGTTCCCGACAGGGCATGGTCCCCTGTAGAGAGCTTGCGCTAGTGGTAGTTAGCACAGCACGCACGCTCAAGCTCCGCCGTTGTCTTGCTGCGCAACAATCTTGTTCTTAGCCGGGTGCTTATCGGAGGGGTAGGTACCTGTTGATCAGGGTGTCTAGGCCTAGCTAGTCAAGTACTCAGTACTTCAATAGCGGGAAGTCTGGGGTGGGAGCATGGGTCTCTTTCGTCGTCATCGAAGCGCCCCAACACACCAGGTCGCTATGTAGAGAACTACCTAGAAACTAGCTTGCCCACACTTCTCGTCCAGATTCCTCATCCACAAACGTCAACCAAACATGTGCTAGTTTCGACAACGTTTTTTCCTTCCTCCCACGCCAATCTAGACCACCTCCAGCCCTGTTACGAGCTCCGGGCTCACGGTGCAAGATGGCAGGTGGAGGCACGGGTCAGAAGCTCGCCGACGCGGCCACCCTGACGGCCGGCATCGCGTCTCTCCTCGCGACCTTCATGTCCATTGTGTAGGCATCACCGCCACGCCCCGTTTTGAGCTTAAAGCTGACTTTGTTTTTACCAGGTCGATATGGCTACAGACGTGAGTATCTTCATCCTTATAACCATACGATAGATGATTTTCTAACTAACAACGTCGCAGTAAAAACTATCGAAAGCCGCTCCTCCAGCGATATGTCGTGCGCATCCTCCTCATGTACGTCCTGTCCCCGTGCCTGTCATGCGCCAGATACTGAGCCTTTGCCAGGGTCCCGATATACTCGATTTCATCATGGGTCAGCATGGTCTCGCTCACCGCAGCCGCCTTCCTCGATCCCATCAGAGATATCTATGAGGCCTTCACCATCTACACCTTCTTCCAGCTCTTGATCAACTACATTGGCGGCGAGCGCGCCCTTATCATCATGACACACGGCCGGGAACCTCTCCACCATCTCTGGCCCCTCAACTACGTCCTCCCACGCGTCGACATATCCGACCCCCATACCTTCTTGGCCATCAAGCGGGGAATCTTGCAGTATGCATGGCTGAAGCCTATTCTCGGTCTAGCAGCCATAATCATGAAGGCTACCGGTACATACAAGGAGGGATATATCGAGTTAAATTCGGGTTATCTCTGGAGTGGCATCATCTACAACATCAGCGTCACTGTCAGCCTGTACTCGCTGGGCCTGTTCTGGGTCTGCATGAACGATGATCTGAAACCCTTCCGCCCGGTGCCCAAGTTTCTCTGCATCAAGCTCATCATCTTCGCCTCCTACTGGCAGGGCTTTGTTCTGTCCATCCTGGTGTGGCTTGGGGCCATTCCCGACCAGGTCGAGGGCTACACTCCCGACAACCTCGCCGCGGCTATCCAGGACTTTCTAATCTGCCTCGAGATGCCGGCCTTTGCCATCGCTCATTGGTACGCCTTCTCGTGGCACGACTTCGCTGACAACAGGATCGCTGCCGCGAGAATGCCTGTATGGTATGCCGCAAGGGACGCGTTCGGAATCCGCGATCTAATCGAGGACTCCAAGGAGACGTTTAGCGGGGACAAGTACGGTTACCGCATATTTGATTCTGGGGACAAGATCATGGCCCATGAAGGCTCACGGTCTAGACTGGCGCGTCTCAAGGATGGAATGCGCTACGAGAGAGGAGGCAAGGCCAAATACTGGATTCCGAAACCCGATGAGATCAACCAGACAACCCCTCTCCTGGGCGCCCCGAATGGTGGACCAAGTCGAAGGAGCGAATCTGCTTCTCCGCATATCGATGGATTTGATGAGCTCATGCTTGACCCCGATGAAGAGAATCTGTATGGCAAAGCTCGGAAGCTCGAATTTGGAGACTGGAATGTAAGTTGTATCTTGTCGTGCTTGTTCCAATGCTGTCTCCTAATCAACCGAATTTAGTACCCCGTCATCACTGCAAACGAACCGACACGAGAGCAGCGCTTGTCGCCACATCCAAGTATATACCAAAACACCCCCACTGGAAGCTTTTATAATGTATCTCGCTCCAACTCGTCCGTGGCCTCTCTTAATTCTGATTCGCCGCTGGCTCGGCGGATGAAGCGAGCACCCGAGGGGCCCGAGATGGGCACCACCGCGGACAAGAAGGGCAAGAAGAAGCAATCATCAAACAAAAAAGGAACATCTAGCTCCGCCGCGGCCCCGGACAAGGGCATGGACCCTCTTGAAATCGCATACGGTCCTACAATGGGCACCGTATCGAAGATTACGGAGGAAGATTTTGAGATCGATAGGGAGGGCAGTGAGTCGCCTAAGCCGCCGACGACGACGCAGAGGAATGGCGACGGCGAGGGGGAGGAGAAGGAGGATCATGGCCGGCACAGCCCGCTGCATCCGGATGATGACGACGACGAGAGCCCCATAAGAGAGGAAGCCGGGCTGTGGGATCGCCGCAACCACGACGAGGCTGAAGAGGAAGGTGGGCGTGTGACTTCGCCATACGGGTTGGGGGGCGCAGATGATGAGTTCCAGAACGTATGGGGCAAGTGAATAAAACGCGCCTTGACGGGTGTGCATGACGATGGATCGGATAGATGGATGGATGGCTTTGCTCTTCTCTCTTAAATGTTGGTGAATATTTTAGCGGAATCCGCTTAGATACCCGAAATTGCCGGTTTTTAGTATTCTTTAAAGGTTCGACGGGCAGCGAGGGCAGGCAGCAGGCAGGAACATTGCATTGGAGTTGGCGTTTTTCTATTTTTAAGCAATTCCTGTCCGTGTGGGGGGCTCCAGTCTATTCTATTCTAGCACCTTGGTTGCCTTGATGATATCATGTAGGTAATATTTACATATCTTATTTATTACTATCCTTTGGTATCTTTCCATTGTGATGATCCTTTCTATCAGTTGTTGCCACGCATTTCGAATTGAACTTTCGACAGAGACATGGGTCTTCCCTGAGCGGGGGACCGGGCAAGTGCTCGTATAGGATACGGACGTAAAAATCTCGACTCCGACTTAGTTTTCATGAAAAAGACTCCTCCATCCCCACTCAAGGGGGGTTGGATTGAGGGCCTTCACGTCAACAAATTGAAAAGGCATTGCCCGGCTGGCGCAATGGTAGCGCGCAAGACTTCTATTCTTTGGAAAATAAAGAAGTTTGCCAAAAATCAATCTTGAGGCTGTGGGTTCGAGTCCCACGTCGGGTGTTCTACTTTTGGAGCATTTTTCTTGTTTTTGAAGGCTTGTTTGTCAGTTGGAAAGTAAGGTAGTAAGTAGTAGGTAGTATATAAAGTATGCCTTTCCTGTGTTTTTCTTTTTGGCCTCACTGCATAACCGACATTTGTTTGTGATAAGTAAATATTTTCCCCCGACTGCACAAAAGGTATGATAAGAACTTCGCAATAGGGATGGGTTGGTACGAGTAGCGAGAAAAGGGGCTCACCATATAACCTACCTATCTTTGACATGTATTTGTAACTATCAAAGTTTTGGCAGCTGATTTAAATACTTTAGTTATCGAGAGAATAAAGCAGCTTGCGACTCAAAACAGGTCACAGCCGCACCATCTTTAAACAAGGCAATAGACATGTACTGATCATATGTTGTATATATACATCACCCATGAGAATGAGCCACAGACACGCAGGCACACACATAGATAATAGTGCATATGTAATTGTGTCGTGGCTCCGCCAGGCGGCCGTTCTTTCCAGGCTCCGTCGCTCATCATCAAACGCGTAAAATAATATATGCTGTTTCCTGTGGCCGAACTGCAAAACAAGAACCGCCCATCCCCCTATCTATCACTTCTGCCATTATCTCTCTAGCACGTTGCCTCCTCGAAGTCAAAGAAAGATAGGTATCGGGAAGTTGTTTTAGCAAACACCGGACTCTAGGTCCTTCCCCCAAGCCCAAAGCCAACCCTCAATGACACCTGGATCCTTTTCCGACTTTCCCTAGTATGCGCTTCTGTGCTGAGTTGGCGGTATATATATCGATGTATATAATCGCGATCAAAAGCTATTAAAAGCTTGGTGTTTTGTCCTGTTCTTCGCTGTTTTTGTGACGTGAAGTCGAACCGGTCTAAAATTTTGTAAATGCATCCCGCCCTCCTATGAAAGCGAATCTATTCGGTCTAATCGCTCAAGCGGCATCGGCAGTGGCTACTGGCTGGGAAACGCGAGTAACCTGGTCGCCGGCACGGACAATCCGCTTGCCAGTGGAGTCGTTGATGCTGGCGACGTCCTTGTTCTCGGACTGTGCGCGCTTCCAGATCTCGACCTCACAGCCGCCACGGAGAACACCGACTCTCATGGTAGACAAAAGGTTGTGGGCAGCGTTGGAATGACTGCGATATGTGTTAGCGACAGGAGATATTGTATGATGGGGAAGCTATTGCAACTTACAGATAAACTCCACCGTTGAAAATGGCCGTGGCATCCTTGCCAACAGCAGCCGAGATCAAGGCCTTGCCACCAGGATGCTCCGAGATGAAGTTGGTAACGTCGTGAATAACGCCAGCAACTGCGACCAAAGCCTTTCCGTTCTTAGACTCGCTGACAAAGTCATCCCAGCTGACAACGGGGAGGTTCTCCAGAGGGATACCCCAGTCGAGGGTGGCGCGCTTCTGGTCAAGCTTCTTCTGAATCTGTTGGAGACGGCCCTTCTCGATCTCATTGTGGGGGAACTTCTTGAGGTCGTATGCGAGGCCAACCTGCTTGCAGATCCAGATGAACCACTTGGTGGGGTCGTATTGCCACCACTCGATGGCGTTGCGGAAGTCGCTGGGGAACTCGTGATGGAAGCTTGGCGAAGATTAGCTTGTGGTTCGCGCTCGTATATCATCAGATTCCAAAACTTACTTGTGATAACCCTCGCCCAGAGTTACAAAGGCTGTGATGACGTGATCTCTCGGGCTGTTGCGGTCATCGAAGGGTTGATCGCCGCTATTGATTAAGGTCAGCAAAATGTAAATTGTGCGAGTAGGGGTACTTACAGCCAGTGAGCCAAGCTGTTGACGCAGAAGGTGGCTTGTTGAATGAAGAAGCTAATATCTGAGTCAGCACATGATTACTCTATGACAGACGCCACGCCAACTCACATTCTGAGAATGCCGCCATAGATAAAGCCACCGAGGAAATCTCCCCACATCAAACCGCAGAACAAAGTCGGGACGACCAAGGCCATGGCGATAACCGACTTGAGATAGTGGCGATGCTGCCAAACGACAACGGGATCCTCTGAGCAGATGTCAGCAACTAGTGTCAGACCTAAATTAAAGACGAAGATTCGTACCATTGAGATCGGTGATGTCGGTTCGGCCGATTCTGCGGGGGTTCTGCTTCATGACCATCCAGCCGATGTGGCTGTAGAGAAGACCCTTGCGGACTGAGTACGGGTCCTTCTCGGTATCGGTATAACGGTGATGGGCGCGGTGATCCCTGGACCACCATCGTGCGCTACCTTCCACCGCAGCAGCGCCAGCGGCAGCAAGGAAGATCTTGAGGGGCGTAGTAGCCTTGTAGCTGGTGTGAGCCCACAGACGGTGGTAGCCAGCAGCTGGGATGTATTAGCTGTCTGAAAATGCGAAGCTTGGTCGACCTGAGTTGGACATACTGATTCCAAGACCGGCGTAGTAGTAATAGGCGATGGAGAAGATGACGGTCTTCAGTTGCATAGGTACCCAGTACGAGGCAACCACGCCTAGCATAGGGATGAAGATGATGAAGGTCGTGTTCAGCCAGTTGACGTGTTGGTACCAGTTATTCACGGTAATGGGCTGGTCGGTAATATCTGTTAGGCATATCGAGTTAGTATTCGCAGCGACGTGACGGTCGGCGGAGTAGCGATGAACTCACGAGGCTTGCGAAGGTCGTACTTCTTGCCTCGCAAAGGAACGAACTCGGTGGTGCCGTCGGGGAAGGCCTCGGCCTGAACGGCCGAAGAAGACGACGCCATGACGAGGCGGAGGCGGAGGAGGTGGTGGTCAACTCCGCTTAAGAGGACTGTTGTCGATATAGGCAGAGGTTGAGGTCGTCGACGTGTAGCCTCTCGGTTGCTTTACTCGGAAGGGAGGGAGACGAGGGAGTAAATAGAGGAGTCAGAGCAGTCGGGAAAGCGGTTGGGCCAGGAGTTTTATACAGATCAAAGATAGCAAGGGTCCACGCTGTGGCGGGTGGGTTGTGGGTTGAGGCGGGGGGACTGCTGGTCTGGTATAAGAGAGAAAAAGGACGTGTTGTTAGGCCGATACTTAATTCACGGTGGCAAGAATCGGCTGTGTTTCGTTGGGGCAAATCGCTAACTTTAGGCAAATTTGAGGCTAACTATAGCTGCAGGCACTTGTACACCTAAGTACCGTACTAACAGATCCCAGATTGGATCACCTCTCCAGGGCCTTCCAGTGCACACCAGGCAGATGGTCCGCGTTCATGACGTAGGCACCTGTCAAGTTTAGTTCAGCTCAATGGACGAAAAAAATAAAAAAGACACTCTCAGTGCTTGTTGGGGTTCCTAATATCTCGCAAGGATAGGCCCGGCATCGACCGAACAAGAATCGGGGTCGGGAAGGCGAAATGGCCTCTTGGATTTACGGAAGCAGCAGCATCGGATCCGCTCTCAGGTCACAATTGCACCTCGAACTGCATCACAGACCATCGACCTCGGCTGGGCGTGGCATGTGCGTGGTGCCATTGCTCGTGAAGACATCTCATTGCCAAAAGTGGTTGGAGCTCTGACGAGATGCCGTGGCTTGCATCTTGTTGATTTTGCCGTCACAGCTTTTTGTTGAGCAAAATGTTGGGGCAGCGTTGGCCCTGGCGTCATTCGAGACAGATGGGCTCAAGCTTTGGCGCTAGCTGATTGGCCACTTTGTACCTGCCGCTTCTCAGGCGTTCCTGGCAGTGGACAAATCAAGCCAGGGACGGCTACCGCCATGCTGGACCCATCAACCTTACCTGCAGCAGTCAAAAATTACCCCACCACTCATCGAAGTATCACAGGCCAGCCACAGCCAAGTAAACTCTTTTCCAACTCAGTGCGAAAGTGTCACTTATTCATGTACTAATAAAGTCCGTGTTCAGGTTAATCCCACTTTCCAGAACGCGGACACGCTTGTCCTTCTGGAATTTGTCAATTCGGACACCGGAATTGAGCAGGTAGTAAAAGGAGCACGAACGGGCGGTAAAGTAAGGGCCGAGTGCGTGCGTGCAGCTGTTCGTGCAGCCAACCAACCCGCCTGCCAGCCGTTGGGTCCTGCGTTGTCCAGACTCCAGATCTGTGAAACACTTCTTGTCGGTAAGATGTTACGGTGAAGCTCCTCTGACCGTTGAATAGTTGAATTTGAACCTGGGAGGTGCAGACGACGGGACTTTCGGGCCAGGCACTTCCGGCATTCAAAGCATTCCATCATGTTGTTTCTCAAATCCCAACACGCCTTCTCCTCTCCAGTTGCAAAGCAACCCTTTAGGGTAGTAGTTCCTCGGCAGTCTCCACCGAGAAAATTGAGGGAAGGATAACCCTGTCGTGTACTTACGTAGCATAACTTTCCTCAGATCATGATAGGACAGGGCGTCCCGACCTGTTCTCGCTCACTCGTTTCTGTACATCATAACTCCGTTTATTCCCCGCAAACTTCGCGGAAAGAAACAACAGTACGATGTACCAATACCTTCTGTCCGTTCATCCGATTTCCCCCACCGCTTTCATGACCCCCCCTTTTCCTCCCCAAACCCACCTTTCGCTCTAAGAAATGGGGGTCTGGGTCACATCAGATAAAAAGGTGGGCACGCATAAAAACGCGGGCTCCCGAGGCTCCTCCACCCGAAAACGAGGGTGGTGTGCACACCATCACTAACAACCTCGGTATGAAATCACTGCGAAGCTTGTTAGCAACACGAACCCCAAGTCAAGTGCTCTTCATAGAGTCCACCATAGGCCGAAACCTTCTAGAAGCAAAAGACCATGTGGAGGACCCCCCCCCCCAATATCGAAATACGCCACATCCTCCTTTCCCCAAATCTAGATGAGCCTCGACCCCCAAGATATATTTTATCATCCAAAACTCAATAGACCATTGAGTGCTCCCCCGTGGTGTGTTAACTACAGCATAAGCAACAGAATCAGATGGCATGGTGGTATATCTATTGCCACCTATCCATGGAGCCATGATTGCATCCGCATCTGATGTGGTTTGGGGGACATTGGTGAT